GGGGGGGGGGGGGGGGGGGGGGGGGGGGGGGGGGGGGGGGGGGGGGGGGGGGGGGGGGGGGGGGGGGGCAGAAACCACTCTGCTTCATAAGAAAGTCCCTCGAAGCTGCATTGATGGAAGTAAGGGCTATTCTTCGGAAGTCCGAGTGGGAACACACACTCTGCTTCAATAAGAAAGACCCTCAAAGCTTGCATTGATGGAAGCCATGGCTGCTCTTCGGAGGTCCGAGTGGAAGTATACTTCTACTGTGTCAAGAAAACTCCCTTCAGGTTGGTAACTGAGTCTACCATTCCTTTTTCTTCTTTGAGGGGCAACAAAAATTGAAAACTGTTTCAAGTAACATAACACAATGAAGATATACAATGTAGAGAAAATAACTTTTAATGGAGATACATAATATGGAGGAAATAAATTTCTTCATAACATAAGAAAGATAGAACTTCTTGGACAATGTAGTAAATGCAAACTGTAAATGTCATAGGTAGACTTCTTTTACGGAATGTTGACATTTGCCCCTAGAGTTGCAAGATCATTTGGGAAGCTTTCACCAGCTTCTCGGGTTGTGGCCGTCATATACCATCATAGCTATGTCTTTGGATCCTTCTGTACAGACTGATATCCCCATCCCCGCAGGATTTTTCATGAATCTGTTGTAGTCGGAAACTTGCTTCTTGTTGGCCAACACACCGGGCTAGGAATCCGGTACCTTCTCGGAAGTAAAGTTCACCTTGAATGATTATGAATTGGGCAAGCTTATCCATAGTCAATTTTCCAACTTTGCTTCTGAGTTGTTCGAGGACTTCTCTTCTCCAGTCCTCCGGAAGGCCTTTGTCTTCAGGTATTATCGAAGGCTCTATTCTCTTCTTGATAATAATTGTCGCCTCCTCCTCTGGGATATCAACTCCTGCCCCTAATGTAGCGAGGGCATCTGAAAACCTGTTGTCGGAACGAGGCACATGCTCTATTTCGACCTTCTGAAATTTGTCAAGAAGCCTTCGGACTGCTGTTCGATATGTGGCCAAGGCAGGCTCCTTTAAGACGAATTGTCCTGAAACTTGCTTCACTATCAACTTTGAGTCCCCCCGAATCCGAATCTTCTTGATACTGTGCTTCTCAGATGCTATCAAGCCTAACATAAGAGCCTCATACTCGGCATCATTATTCGAACAATGGAAATCCAGTTTATAAGACAAATATAACTTTTCCCCACTTTTGCTTGTAAGGACTATCCCGGTTCCTCCTTTACCTCCGGCTGCTGCTCCGTCAAAGCTCAATGTCCAAAAGCTTTCCTCGGAAGCCATAGCTGCATGCACCTCTCCTCTTACTTCTTCATTCACTGGTTCATAGTCACCACTTGGAATTTGAGCAAGAAGGTCAGCTAAGGCTTGGCTTTTAATCGCCTTCGGGGCTACACATGTGATCTCGAATTCACCCAGTGCTAACAACCATCTTGCCACCTTCCCGGTTATAGCAGGCCTGCTGATGAGGTATCGGATTGGATCACTCCTAGTAACAATCTGAATCTAATGTGCTAAGAAGTAATGTCTGAGCTTTTGGGCGGTAAATACCAAAGCTAAGCAATGTCTCTCTATCGGAGTATATCGGACTTCTGCTCCTCGAATCTTCTGGCTGATGTAATACACCGGGCGTTCTGCTCCATCTACATCTTGGACCAATAATGCCCCTATGGACTTGGGAGTTGAAATTAAGTACAACATTAGAGGGACCCCGGGCTGCGAGGCTATCATGGTCTGAGGCGAGGTCAAGGCCGCCTTGATTCTCTTGAAGGCCTTTTGGTGTTTCTGGTTCCACTTGAACTTGGCATCTCCTTTTAACAATGAGCCGAAAGGGGCAGAGATCTCTGCAAGTTCTGGGATAAACCTCCGAATATAAGACACCTTCCCGAGGAACTTCTTTAACTCCTTCTGAGAATGCGGGGGAGGCATTGCTCTGATAGATTTGACCTTGTCTTCATCTGCCTCGATACCATGCCTATGTACAAGAAACCCGAGGAACTTCCCGGCCGTCACCCCGAAAGCACATCTGAGAGGATTCATCCTCATTTTGAATTTCTGGCACCTCTTGAATACCTTCTCAAGGTCTCGGAGATGGTCTTCTTCTTTCTTGGATTTCCCCACTAGATCATCAACATTATCTTCCACCTCATGATGGATCATGTCATGAAAGATTGCAGTCATAGCCCTTTGATAAGTTGCACCGGCATTCTTGAGCCCAAAAGGCATGACTGTATAGAAGAAGTTTCCGAGAGGTGTTCTAAAAGCAGTCTTTTCTGCGTCCTCTTCAGCCATCTTAATCTGATTGTATCCACTGAATCCATCCAAGAATGAGAACATCTGGTGTCCCGAGGTAGTATCCACGAGGGTGTCGATGTGAGGAAGAGGGAATTCATCCTTCGGGCAAGATTTGTTCAAATCTCGAAAGTCTACACATACTCTGATTTGGCCATTCTTCTTCTTTACTGGCACGATGTTTGCTAACCACGTGGGGTACTGTATTGGCCGGATGAAACCAGCCTGCTGAAGTTTTTCAATCTCCTCCTTAATCTTCTATTCGAGATCTGGATGATATTTTCGAGCAGCTTGCTTAATTGGCTTGGAGTTTGGGAACACATCAAGATAGTGGGAGACTAGGTCAGGATCTAGTCCGGGCATTTCCTTATATGACCAAGCAAACACATCTGAGTATCGGCCTATCAACTTTAACAACTGTTCCCGCTTCTCTGGGCTAAGGCTTGAACTTACGAATACCGGCCTCGGTGCATCTTGTCCATCACTCAGATCTATTTCAATAAGTTGTTCAGGCTGAGGCTTCAGCCCATCTTGCATACATTCTGGAGCCACTTCAGGCTTTATTACTATATCATTGTCAGGAGGCTCTTCTTTTGACTCAGAGTCGGTGACTGAAGAAGCCGACTCCCCGCACCTTCATAAATAATACACCATCTTGCCTCCTTCTCGAACTTTCATCACCTTCCGAGGAATAGGCGGACTTTCTGGTCTAGACATCGCCCGCTTACTTGATTCTGTCATCGGCTCCTTGTTATCTTTGATATCCTCCCAACGAGGAATTTTGACCCCTCGAGGCTTAGAGGTGGTGGGAACTTCTTCGACAACCAGTTCGATGAAGTAGATGGCATCAGAATAATGAGCTTCATGGATCTCGAACGGCCTTTCTGTAGCCTGAATTGTCACTGTCTTGTTTCCCCATTTAGCCTTAACACACTGATGATAACTTGATGGTACAGCCCCATATCTATGCATCCAGGTCCTCCCTAGAATGATGTGATAATTTGCCTCAGAATCGATAATATGGAACTTGGTGGCCGAGCGAATCTCTCCAACGGCTAAATCAACTGTTACGCATCCGATAGTAACTCTCCTTTCTCCACCGAAGCCAGTGATGACTATCGGCTGCTTCACAATGCGTTCTCCAGAGATTCCGACTTTTTCTAGAGTAGCGCGAGTCATAATGTTGATAGAGGCTCCACTATCTAGAAAGGCCCTTTTGAACTCAACCCCGTTAATAAAAACAGTCACATAAAGCGGGCGATTGTGATAAAAAGGATACTTTCGATCAGCCTCGGAGAAAGTAATGGCACTAGATTGCTCTTTTGCCTTCCTCGGGATAGACCCCTCAGTCGACATGCATTCCTCATGGTGTGCCTCGGCTATATTAATGATAGACTTGGTGATTTCCGTTCTTGCCTCCCTGGAAAGTCCAAGCTGGTCAAAGAACTGCTTGAACTTTACACAGTCTTTCAGGGTTTTGGCATAGTGATCCGGATCTTTTTCCACTCTTGGAGGCTCGTAGTTAACCATCTTCTCGGTCTCCTCAAAATAAGATACCACATAAACATGGTGTCCTCCTCTTCCATAGCATTCTTCTCCTCCTTCTGGATCAAAGGGATCTTCGCCATGAGTCATAAATGTTCTGCTCGAGAGCACTTTCATAGTAAACTTGCTCACCCTCTGGCTCGAGGATGTCGTCCAGATAACAGTCATCGTCATCGAGATTAGCGATAGCCTCGATCATTGGGCCTTCATAAGCTATCATAGCAACATTCTTGCCCTTGTTTCGGTGTTGAGGATATGGTTGTTCTCGGATGTCTTGAGTCCCTCACTTTTTGAACCTCAATTCGTCTGCCTCGGCTTTATCTCTGAAGATTTTCCTGAGAGTCCAACACTTCTCTGTCAGATGTTTCAATGTACGATGGTAAACACAAAATTCAGGGCTCTCGCGGTCCTTTTTTGAAGGCATTTCTTCGACATAAGGCAATTTTAGCTCTCCGTCAGCCACCCATTCCTTAACTAGAGCTTTCACTTCCTCGATTCCACATGGATAAGAAACATTCCCCTTTTCACCATTATATTGCTTCCTCTTCTGGCCTCTATGACCTCCTCCTTGTGAATTTCGGGTATCTGGGGCAGAGGCAACAGCAACAATAGGTCCACGAGACGATTTGAAACTAGTCTTGTAACTGGCCTTAAATCCGGACTCCTGAACCTGAGGAATGCTAATGTTCCGAGCTGCTTCCATTAATGCCGAGAAGGTGGGTAGCTTGTGATTAACTAGAAACATTTTGTACCTGCTCAATGCCCCTTCTAGACAGATTTGAACCAGATAACTCTCCTCAACTGCTTCATGACAATCCACGGCCTTGTCCTGAAACCTTTTGACGTAGTCAAGGATGTCTTCACTTTCTTGTTGCTTCTCTTTACACAATGTAAGTGTGGTCACCTTCTCCGCCACTTGAAAGAACTTGGAGTGGAATTTGTTAACCATTTCAAGTATATTTTCTTTGCCCTGTTTGGTTGCTGAGAAAATGAAGAAAAGAGAAAGAAAATTCAACATTTCAATAATTCTAGAGTTCTTCTTGTTTAGAACTGTATAAAAATTCTGTTTCTACTCTGGTTAGATGATTCTTTCATTTTTGCGAAACCCAAACACCAAACCATAAGAATAATTTTATATATACTCTTTTTGTGTGCGCGCTCGCGCGCGTGTTAAACTTCGTTGAGAAGTATGAAATTCTTTATAAGGCGATTGATTTGTCTAAGGAATTAACTAATCTCACTCTTTTATGCTAGTTATTGAGGTAATCACTCACGTAGTGCTTGCATTTGAGATTTTAAGCTCGCACTGTATGTGTTCGACTTTTTGTTTCTGTGACATGTATCCACCTTTGTAGACCTGTGTTGGCAATCAGATTGGAGAAAACTATGGGAATTTTATTGTCAGAGTTGCTTTTGTTGTTTCTACTGCTTTCTGAACAATTGAAAGACTCATGAATCAACCCCCATTCTATTTTTTGATATAGTTAGTCATTTTTCATTTAGATTTTTCGCAGGCATTGCCTTGCAAATGATGTACGTTGATAATTGATGTGATGGCAAATGAGTAGAAGAAAATATAAATCCAGTTGCTATTGGCTCTACCCAATTGGCATTCGTGATTAGAATTCCAAAATGGTTATGAATCAATGGCTGCAATTCATAGTTCTGATGGTGTTTTGTTTATTTATTGGTCTAAAACCAAAAATGACGCAAAACTACAAAGTCATATGGGTTCATATAATAAGGTCATTCCCCATTTCAAGTCAGCTTTCTATTCTAGGAATTGGAGAGGTTATGGCCTCTCTTTTTAGCCCTAGTTAAAACCTATATTTCAGAACATGGGGACTTCAACGTAATTGCAGATCCAGTGGCAATGGTTGTGGAGTTTGCCTTTAAAATAGATGCAGGACACTGTCAGGATGATGTTAAATCCTTTGTGAAGTTCATATCTTTGGGAACCTCCTTGAAAGCAGTAATATATTGGCATTAGGAAAATGCTATGCAAACAACTTTTTGTATAACGTTTATTTATTTTTAATAAATAGTTGTGGCCTGCAATAACAAAGCATTGATAAGAACAACTCAGCTACCACATCAGTTTGTTTGTATGGCATTACTCTTTTCATTAATATCCATAATTCTTGCCTTAGGAATTTATTCAGGGCTCTAGTACTATGAATTCTGATGACTAGTCAAAGTGTATTGCACATCATGGTTTTCTATAGTTGTCTAATCTCAACTGCGAAACTGAAACTTTTGCATAAATTTCCAGTATTTATGCTGTTCCCTTCTTGTGTTTGTGCACATCTTTGTCTCAAATTTGATATTGAACCATCTTGGTGCAATTTTGTGTCTCTGCTTCTCATGTGATTCTGTTTAATGAGTTTTCCATCTCAATTTACTAACTTTTGCTGCTATGTGTAATTGAGCCATGCAGAAGCTAGTATTCTTCTATGGGAACTGAAGAGCCAAAAGGTCAATTGAAAGGAATGGACTGGGAAAATATTGGTGATTCCATCCATAATGAGCCCAGTGCGGGGCCTGTTACGAAGAAACGGCTTCCAAGAAAGGTTAGGCAAATCCCAGATTGTTATTTTCTTCCTCGGAGATCATTACCCTCTGCAATTGCCTTTTACGGGGCATGGATTGTTGCTGGAGTTGGTGCAGGGATGCTAGCAGAAATCTGGATAAACAAGAAGGTCAAAGGTATGCCCTTTGTTAGGCTAAGGATGTGTTTGGATTTTGGATTTGGGAAGGGATTTGAGGAGGGAAAGGAAATGTGGAGTGAAATGTAAATGAAATATATGCTATTTTTTTATTTTTTTTTTCCATTATCTTTTCCCTCCACAAATCCCTCTCCAAATCCAAGATCCAAACACAACCTAAATATTTGCCGGTCATAAGTTTAGATTGAACACTAAGCTTTTGTTGGTTGGTTATCAAAACACATGGTGATCTAAATATGACGTTCTTCAAGTGAAATTTGAAGAGTATGACAGCAGGAAGTGTTTGCAATGAACAAATATTTCTAATCCTTATACTTGAGAAAGATTTAAGTTTGGTTATTGAATGGGTAAATTGGAATAGCACAGGAAAGTTTTTGTTCCAGACTGATAAAGATTGTTATTATGATTTAATGGTTGATATCAATAAGGGATACATACTGAACTTGCAATTTCAAAGCATTCCTCTATAAAACTAGAGGAAGTTGCTTTCCTTCCCTTTCCTTTAGAAAATTGTGCGATCTATAAATTAAATTCTTAAATCTATTTGTTGTTAGATGATTTGTCATCCTCTCTGTATTTGCGCACTTAACTATAGCTAACATATGATTTATTTTTTTTTTGGGTTAAGCAGAGGATGGTGGTATCATTTGGGAGTTTGACAAATGAAAACTGGAAGTGGCATTCCAAGGAACTCTCCTGGTTGGTGGCCAACAAATTAGTTGAAATCCAAATATCGGTTTTAAATGTTACAGTTTTGGTATTATTACAAACATATTTTATGTTGTTTCAGGCTTTTCTCTCTGATTAGCTTTGATTTGTTCTTTGTAGTATGGGAAACTTAATTAGAAGTTGTTTTAGATTGTTTGAGATGGTTGAATCCCTGTGAATCCAATGGAAAGTTTATTATCAGATAGATTATGTTCTAACATGCCCTCCTCTGAATACTTTTGCTCATGTCTTTTGAGTTTTTAGTGGCCTGTTTGGAAAGCAAGAAAGTATCTGGAAAGTTGAATTTTGTTTCTCTACAGTTATAAGCTATGAAGCACGGGTGTGGGTACAGGTACGATACGGGTACACCGATATGGCAAATTCTTAAAAAAGTAGGGTACGGGTACGGGTACGGCTAGGGTACGTAAATTTTTATTTTTTATTTTTAAATTGATAGCTAAACATCTAAAATACAAATCAAAGTTTCAATATCAAAACTAAAAAGAGAACAACTTGTTTAAAAAGTTATATAATTCTTTCTTTTTCTTTTTTGATTGTCTAAAACAAGATGCAAAAGAGAGCAAAATCATGACTCATGGGTAAATGGTGTTGGAAATAAATTACTTGATATTTTCAAAATTGAAAGAAGAATAATAAAGGCTGCAATAAATTTTAGTAGCTAAAAAAAAAAAAAAAAATCACTGTACCGTTGCCGTACCCACGATGTACCCAAGTGTATTTGTCGTACTCGGTACGCATACCCACACCCGTACCCGGTAAGTATCCGATACTCATACGGCATCATTTTTGGAGTACCCGTACTTCATAGGTTATAAGGCAATTTGTCATTCACATGTATGTATCTGCAGCACATTTTTCACTTCAACATCTGCACATGTTGAGAATGGGAATACAGTGTGTAAACTTCTTCCTATGAGGAACTGCAAAAAACACTGGCACTGTGTTTGGTTGGAGGATTTGGGAAGGGAAATGAAAAGTGAAAGAGAAATGCAATTCTATTCTTGTTTGGTTATAATAGAAAACATATGGGAAAAGAAAGGGAGAGGGAAATGAATTAAGAAATAGGAGGACCTTCTAGAACATCAATTCCTTTATATATGTGAGAAATGACCCCGGAAAACAAGGAGGAAAAATTTATCGGGGAGAGAGAGTTTCATTGTTCATGGCTTTTCGTAGGAGACCATTCATGAGTAGCTTCAAACAACATTGACGAGTTTGAAGATTTGACTCCGGTAGCAAACTCTGATTCACAATATCATTTAGCAAGCCCTTCCAATCAGGGATCATCATTTGCTTCAATTGGTAATCTTCAATCATTGAACTCGATTGAAGATTCATTGCCTAGAAATTTCGATCAGGTGTTTGTGCCCCTCTTTCGTTTTCTCTTACCTTCTCATCAAACTCAAATCTGTGTTGATTTCTATGGATTTGTTTATTTATGTTCAAGCTGCTTTGCTATTTTGCTTCGAAGTGAAATTGCATATCTAACTCTGGTAGCAATCTCTGATTCGCAACATCATTCAGCAAACCCTTCCAATCGGGGATCATTATTTGCTTCAATTGGTAATCTTCAATCACTGAACTCGATTGAAGATTCATTGCCCGAAAATTTCGATCAGGTATTTGTGCCCCTCTTTCGTTTTCTCTTCCCCTCTCATCAAACTTAGATCTGTATTGAAAATTCCATACATACACACAACTATATATGTTTTATTATGAATCAGAGATTATAAATACATGGATTTGTTTATCTATGTTCAAGTGGCTTTGCAATTTTGCTTTGAAGTGAAATTGCAGAAACCCTTTTTGTTTTCTAAGTAGTTTGAAGATTTAATGTCTTCTTTTCACTTTGCATGGCTTCAATGAGATTAAATTGGATTTACATTTTCTGTTTGTTTTATTTTATCTGTTTATATGTTTGTTTGTTATGACAATTTGCTTGTTATAGTGTATAGATGTTTGCGTATTTGGTTTATTTCACTTTCTTTTGTTTCGTGTTTTTTCATGATTTCAAGCTTTATAAATTAATCCTTTTTTTTTTTGTGATAAATATAAATTAACCCTTTCATTCTTGTGAAATGTTTGATTGAAAGTTTATTTGGAACCTGAGCTGTTTGATGGTCTGTTGCATTGGATTAAATTAGTTTTGGGTAATATGAGTATAGATCATGTCAGATGAATTTGTAGGACAGTAGAAGTGGTGTATGATGGAAACAGTCCTATATTTGACAATGAGGTTCCATTTATCACCAGTAGGAGATGTTGCTTCAGCAAACCCATTTTTCTTATGGTAGAGTCCTTATCTACTAGCCTATTAGAGTGTGAAGATAAACTAATATTTGAAGAGTGGTCAGTCATTTTTTTCTTTGTATCAAGTGATATTACTCTTTTTCAGGAAGGCTTTGATATTTGCACTTGCTTTTATCAGTGTGTGCGAGAAGTCCTTCCACGAAAATTTGATAAGATGGATCAACTGACTACTGAAAAAGATGGTATAGGTTAACTTCAAGCAGAGTATTTGTTTTAGTATTATTTAAATTAAAAAGGGTTGACTCTATTGTGCGTTAAATTAGTTGATTGGGAAAACAGGTTGAAGCATTGTACCCAAATGGGTTGTCATTTGAGTGTTGCCTAGGAACTTTTTGATGTATCATTGCAACATGGAAACATTATTAACAAGTGGATGTGATTTTTTATTTTAAAAAATTGTAGATACATGATCAAGAGGACTGGGAAAAGTATAGAAAGTGGGCAGCCACTTGTGTAGCTATGTATGCTTCATATGTTGTCAGCTTTGTCTCAATTCTTCATTGTTGTGATCATGTGAGGAAGTCAATTTCAGAACAAAGAGATTATGAAAGATATGTCCTAATTAAACAGCTAACGACTTTAGAAGATGCAGATTGTCGTAGCCAGTTATGCATGAGCAAAGATGCGTTTGCCATACTAGTTAGCATGCTTAAAAGAACCAAGTTTCTTAGTGACAATCCTCAAAGTAAAGTAGAAGAACAAGTGCGAAATTTCTTCATATATTTGGCAATAATTTGAGGAACTATACAATCAAGTTCTTTTACATACAATCAGGTGAGACTGTTAGTTGACATTTTCATCAAGTTCTTAAAGCCATTATATCATTGGAAGATATCTTTTTAAAGCAACCTGATGGATTTGAGTGCCCTCCAAAGATTAGAAACAATTCCAAGTATTGGCCTTATTTTAAGGTAGTTACATGAATGCAATTAGGGTATAATATTATATGTTTGGATACAAATAATGAACTTTTTACAGGATTGTGTTGGTGCGATTGATGGTACACATTTTTGTGTAAGAGTGCTGAACAAGGATGCACAAAGATACCGAGGACAAAAATGCTATCCTACTCAATGCTTTGGCTGCATGTTCTTTTGATTTAAAGTTTACATATATCCTTCTGGGATGGGAAACATTTGCTTCAGACTCAAGAATATTAGATAATGCATTAACAAGAGAAATGGATAAATTGATTGTTCCTCAAGGTGATCACTGAACGTGTATGTATGCTCTGATGAACATAAATCTTTTTTCGTTTTCTTTCAAACTAACATCATTTAATTACTTGTTGGTCCTAGGTAAATATTACTTAGTTGATGCAGGATTTCAACTAAAAACTGGGTTCCTTGCTCCATATAGAAGTACTCATTACCATTTAAAGGAGTATTGTCACGACCCAAACTCGTCCCTATAAGTTTAGCGCCATGACCGACCAATAATCATAAATTACCTACGGCCTCTAAACACAAATCCATTTAATATACAGTATGGGGCTTAGCGGAAGTATAATACAACATATAAGTTATCCATCGAGCTGTGCATACATGAAGAAAGCAAACTCTATATCATAAGTGAACGTTCGTACAATATGCGCATACATCACATAAGTTCAATTAGCCAAATCTTATAGTTATGCAAGACCCTAAAGTATACACAAATACAAAAACGATTGGGTAAAACAAAAGGGGGTCTAACTAACCTGGCTCCACACGTGCCTAGTTTACTTCGTTCAGAAGCTCTTCAAAAAGGTTGACCCGTGTAGACTCGAGGCATTCTTTAACCTTGATGTTCAGCTTGCCCACCTGCATATATATAAATAGATAGTGAGCTAGGGCCCAGTGAGTAATAACAGAATAAAGAGGTTATATGAACGAAGTTCGATAAAAATGCCAAACCATATTTCATTTCAGTTCTCAATAATCCATTAACTTCATCATCAAG